TTCAAAAAAAATAATAAGAGGGTTAAGTTTGCTAATTGAGTGTTAAATAACTACAGCAAAGACGACACTAAAAATGGCTTTTCACGGATGAAAAGTTATTTGACCTTGACGGCATATACAATTCACAAAAACCACCGGGTATGGGCTGTCAGTAGAGAAGAAGCTGATAGAAAAGGTGGTTTCCGTGAGAAGACCAAGTATCCAAAGAAAGTGATGGTGTGGTTGGGCGCATGTGCTGATGGTTTAACAACACCAGTCATATTGGAAAATGGAACGATATGGATGCCGAGGTTTACATCAATGAAGTTCTTCCAATAACTCTGGAATGTGGTGACAAGATGTTAGGGGACGATTAGACTTATCAACAGGATGGTGCTAGACCTCATACACATCATCTTACTCAAGAATGGTGTGCCACGCATTTTCCTGATTTTATCCCCGAGACGCGTTGGCCGCCCAATTCACCTGATTTATGCCCTTTAGATTAGTTTATGGAACGAGTTGGCTCAGTGTATGAATTGGGATCGAATAACAACAAAAGCAGCGTTGATTGAAGAGATAAAAAGTTCAGTAACAAAAGTTGACAAAGAAAAAATTTTAAATTCTATACTTGATTTTACCATAAGATTACGTGAAATAAAAAGAAATGGAGGAAGCAATATTCATTAAACGAAACATATTATTTTGTGCAGAATTTGAAGCGCTTCTTTTTGATAAAAGAAACGTATTTTGTTTGATTGGAAAACAGAGGAGAAATATTAGAATTACTAATGGCATAATTTATTCTGGCCCACTCGTTAGAAATCGAATCTAAGTGTGTTGTTTGGATGTGACATGCTGAAAATTCTGGCCCAATCATCAACTTATTTTACTTCTATTTATAACTTGTCAACAGCTTATTCCTAACTTGGAGAGTATAGATCTTTCGTCAAGTCTAGAACTCATTTAAATATCTACTCGCGTGTAAAAATATATTCATAAAGCTCAGTCAAAATGAAAATCTGATGGTAGCGACTTACCCAGATAAACCATCGGTTTTTTTTATCACATGATGGGTATGGGTGTTATTTTGCTTATTGATGTGAATGTAAGTGACCAGGAGAATCATACATACATCCGCATCTTAGGATTCTATGATTCATTCATAAGATAATACTACACTTTATTGTAGTGCGTTCTTCATCACTGTAACTTCAAAATATTGATAATAAGTCACTGTAAAATCCTCGAAAGTTTTTCAGTAAATAGAAAAAATGAAGTATTTTCTGAAGGGTGAAAATCGATTGAATAGTCCTTAAAATGTGTTTTTCTGTTTATCATAAAAACAATTCCGTCAACAGTGTTACATTCATTGAAGCTCAACATCCACCCACGATACAAAAAATCGAGATCTCTCGTTTTCATTCGAAACTCAATATTTTCGTTTTGTTATTTTATAGACCCGCATATTTACTATCTACATTTAAAGATGGCTGTCCTACATAGTTGTTTGAAATGCATGAGTTTATCAACTATTGCAACGACTAGCAGAATATATAACTCTTTAATGCAGTCGCTTATAAAGCTGCAATTTGTTCTATTTTGTAGGAAAATTAAATTTATATATCATTTTTGAAAATTTGACGGATTGATGAAAGTTGAGCACGAGGAAAGATGAGCACGGAAAGATAAGCACCGATAAAATGAGCACAGGAAAGATAACCACGAAAGAAAAAAGAATAATGAGTAGACATAAGCCAATTTAAGTTAAACAGATCATATATAACATAAAAACATAAACATAATAAGTACAAATTCTGTACAATAAATTAATTATTCACACTAAATAAATACAGAGAAGGTAATTACCCACGTCGATCATCCTGAATCGTGAACGGCCGTATACCTATCGCTCACGATGAAAAACGGCGACCGTATTTTGTAGTGGTTTACTGTTATCGTAAACGACTGTCGGATATAACAGTAAACGGTCGGAACCGATGACCGTAAATGATTTAGAAAACGGTTGATGTTTTTCTATCGTATACTTTCGTAAACGATCGTTTACGATTACTAACTGTTCGCTTAAAGTATAGTAGCATTTTTTAGATTATAGTTTTCATAAGCTATCGCAGTGAAAAGTATTAAGTGACCATCGTGTAGGTGAATTTAGTATCGTATTCGAGTAAAACCTGTCAATGCTCATTTGAGCTGATTTTCCAACGGCCATAGTCATATTACTACTAAAACTTCCTATACGGTATACCCTATCGAGTAGTATATTTCGATTAACGAGATCTACAACCGTACTCCAGAAATTTTGAAAAATCAAAAAAAAATCCTGGTTTCCTTTTTTGTAAAATGCGGTCATATTAACTTCGACAAATATTCCATTCTCGTACCTATATTCCAAGTGGAACTCGACGAACTCTATCCAGTGGAATCGACATATTTTCCGTAGCTTAAAATCAGACTTCAGCGTTGATAGAATAATGCCAAAGAAATCTAAAAAATCCTACTATGAGCTATGAAAAATCTGCGGACATCATTAAATAGATCTCCTAGATTTGTGTTTATATCATGAGTGGAACGCTTATAGCAACATCTTTAACGAATATGGTGCTAGAATTTCATAGAAAAATACAGTATTTTGAGATTTTGGGACCATTATCATGGAGACGAAAAATCTGATTTTACAATTCGATGAAATTTGTTGAGATCTGTTTGATACACGAGCGTGAGAGTTGAACTATTTCTTGGAATGAATATTGACAGATTCAACAAAAGGAATTCCAGGATTTCTTTGGATTTTTCGAAATTGTAGGAGAACGCTTCGAGATCTAGTTAATTCAAATTACCATTTGATAGAACATATGAAATTTCACTAGGAACATGCGCATGCGCGTTCGAGCATCAGCTAACAAGAGTATCGACAGGTTTTACTCTAATACGATACTAATTTCACTTACTTGTGAAAATCACGATTTTACACCATCAAAAGTAGCACAATCTTACTACGACGGAAACAATTAATGCAAATCGTATTTTTGATCTAAAACACAGAGTTAATGGTCAAAAGAAGTTTTCTTGAATATATATGAATATTACAAGAATAGACATTTATAATACAAACAAAAATCCTAAATCACAATGTGAACTGGAAAATGCTGTCGATGACGTTTTAAATGATTCATCATTAAACGATATTCAAGCATGTATTAAAAGGGCTCAAAAAGTATATAACGAGTTTGTATCTTCATATTAGATTTTTATTTGTATTATAAATGTCTATTCTTGTAATATTCATATATATTCAAGAAAACTTCTTTTGACCATTAACTCTGTGTTTTAGATCAAAAATACGATTTGCATTAATTTTTTCGTGACAGTTATATTCCTTCAAGAAGTATCGTTTTTCAAAAAATAATCGAGTTGGTATGAATTTTTAACGCACAATCAAGAGAAATCCAGTTTCAAATTAGAAATCAATACAATCATTTTCAAGAAGAGAAAATTGAATAGATTTTAATGAAAAAAAAATCCTATTACAAGGATTCAAATCTTAAAAAATCGAAGAACCTGGCTAAATCTGTCATCAGAAGTTTAACTAGTTTTTATTATCAATTTTATTGTCCATCACATAGAAATGCTATAATTTTCATCGCTTTTTAAGCCCGCAAAATCATTTAACTAAGATTATTTTATGAGTTTTAAACATGGGGAATATACAGATAGAACATCGAAATAAACCGTAACACATCCACAGTTCTCTATTGCGGAGAAAAAGAGGGGTCTGTGAAAAAGAAATTTTATATCGTTTTACTTTTAAGCGCTAAAAGCTACGGAAACTTACTCCTTTAGTTCCTTTAGTCCCTTTAGTCCCTTTAGTACCCTTAGTCTCTTTAGCCCCTTTAGAAATTCATATAATGAAACTGTCTGTTTCATGGTTCAAAAAGCCATTGTTTTCATTTTTGCCATGTTTTTTGAATCTCTGGATAGTAAAGCTAGTAGAGGCACTCTTGGCACCAGAATGAATGCAGGCATTAAAAAGACTAAAGGAACTAAAAGAACTAAAGAAGATTCGTGTAGCTTTTAGAGCTTAAAAGTAAAACGGTATAAAATTTATTTTTCGTGGACCTATGCCAAAATGAGTTGCACTTGCAAGTTACTGTTTTAAAGAGAAATATAGTATTGACTTTTGATATTCTATACCTCAGTGCAAATTTCCTTTATCGATATAATAAGTTTTCTAAAAGGAATCTTTTTAAGAAATAACTTCAAGAAGACTATTTTATTGATTTGCATGCTTTGGTTTATGTTTATGCAAACTTGGTGAGAAATGTTTACTTCATCCTTGAATATTGTATGATAAAAAAAAGTCCAGCGCGAACATTCCGGTCCCGGAAACGGCCGGTTCTGTGGTATTCCGGAGATTTCATGGAAGCAGTATTCCGGTGAAAGGATCCGGTTCCGGCCGAAATCGGCAGGAACCTGTCAAAACTGGTAGCCGGATACGGTTTTCGGATTCCTGCATCGAATTTCGGACAATTCCCGGTGGGTTCCGGTCGGAAACAGGGAGTTTCTTGCAGGTTTTCGCCGGAAATTCACGGAATACTGCTTCAGGAATCATTTTCCTGGGAGAAAGTCTCACACTTCAACTAAATATCCCAGTTCAAGGTGTCTGAGTTTTATGCATATCTATTTATGATAACTCCAAGTGAAATGCGAAGAATAATATACGAAAGATATAACAGAATATTTGTTTACCTGATAAGAATATCCGAGTTATTCGCCGACGATCCTATCTTTCCTATATCATGTGTTTCGTTTTAAGCAGCTGATAAACATGAAATGAAGAATTTATAAAGGCACTGTAAAATTTAGAAGTATCTATTATCAGACGTGTAATGCGTGTCATAAGCCTTTTGTTGTGCTTGCTCTTGCTAAGTCCTGAGGTGCTCACTTTCGATGCTGGATGGACCGACTATTTTCTTACGTCAAAGGACTCTACACACTATTCGATGACGGAATGTGCTGTTCTCGACATGGCTTCAGAATATCTAAAAGACATTTATAACATCAATTCGTTAGAATCTATCGTCAACGCTCAATATGGCCGATGCGATATCCAAGGTGTTCTTAAAGCCATCAATATTGAACTAGGTAAATTGAAAATTGACCAGACTCGTCTATTTATGGCGATGAAAACTATTGCTGAGGAGAATCGAAATCGAGATAGATATGAATTCGAGAATGAACCAACTCATTTTGATGGTGAAACATTTGATGATGGTGCCCTTTTGATATCTCGTCGATTCGATGCAGCAATATCAAATGTGAACAGCGCAGAATACGAAAAATCAAGAGTAGAATTCGGCTATTTGCTACATACTGTGCAAGATTTCTATAGTCATTCAAATTGGATTGAGATTGGATATGGTGAACCAAATAAAGGCATTGGAAAATATGAAGTTTTGGGCAAGTATGCATCGAAAGAGATGCGAACATGTGTCGAATGTGTAGGAAATTCATGTCGAAGTAATATAGTGCCATCAATACTTCAAAACAATGTACTAACTAGTGGCTATTTCAGGTTGCGCGTTGTGGGTGCGTTTTTAGATACAAAACCAAAACCAAAACCTGTTGGAAAATGTAGTCATGGTGGTGTTTTAGATGCAACCATATCCACTGACGCTACAGGAGGTGGAATCAATAAAGATACGTTGACTTCAGTACATGGGCACCTACATCAAGAAGCAGCATCGGTTGCATACGATGCTACAAAACAAATATTGCATGAATTTTGGAAGAGAGTTGGGAATGAACCATTCGGACAGTTTCTTGGTTTATCTGAGAGTCTACGTAACATTTCATCAAGTAGTTTGATCATTGTTATGGATACCACTGGTAGCATGGGATCGTATATTGCTATGGCGAAACAGATAGCTATTACTATTGTAGATAGTCATCAGACATTGGAATACAAACCCAGTAACTATATTCTCTCGCCATTTAATGATCCAGAATGGGGGCCGTTGACAACTAGTCTTACTCCTCAAGAATTTACAAATGAAATCAGCAAGCTTAGTGCCAATGGTGGTGACGATACACCAGAATTATATTACCATGGAATTCTTGATGCACTCCAAGTCTGTGAAATTGGCTCATCTCTCTATGCATTTACCGATGCACCAGCAAAAGATGCCTACTTAAAAAGTCAAGCTGTGCAACTAGCAAAAGAGAAACGTGTCACCATTACATTATTCTATGCGGGCTCTTCTCGAAAACGTCAAACTGGCAATGTACAAACTAAAGTTACTGATGTCATTGAAGATTTAACTATTGTTGATGGTAATGATCTGTCATCGATCACTGGTGGTATAATTATGGGTATTAATTCTCAATCGCTTAGTGTAACTGAAGATTATATTATTAATCGTCTTGACATGCATAAACTCAAGCCCATCATATTTGCAAGAGGTAATCAATTGAACTTGACATTTTATGTTGATTCTTCAATGAAGACACTAAGAATTGAAGTAACATCTAGTTACGCTTTGACAACGACGGGTCTACGTCTAACTAAATCATCAGGACAAATTCTGATGCCCATACCATCATCTCAGACACAATTTGCATTCATTTATACGGTCCCGCTTGAACAAAGTGATGTAGGAGAATGGAATATATTTTCACCCATTACTGTTGCTCACAATATTGAATTAAATGCTATAAGTAACATATCATGTTCATCAACATTACAGAAACAATTGGTTGATTCATCATCTGATCTCAATTTTGTAACATTAACAAGCAGACCAATTCAAGGTGAAAAAGATTTATTTGTTTTGACTATTTGCGATAATCTGCCATTGGATCTTATCACGGGCGAAGTGTACTTGATGGATACCAAAGACGGCTCATCTATATCAGAAATATTAACACCGATTCGAGTTTCACCTAATGGTTTTCTATCGAGAATTAATGTTCCAAACGATGATTTTCGTCTTAAAACAGTTGTTCATTTGAAAGATGGCTCGTTAATTCAACGTCAGGAAAAACGAATTATATCACCAACGTCCATTGCGTTAAGTATCGATAATCAACCATACTATGTTCTTCTCAATGAAGCAGTGTCCATGAATTATACACTTTATAATTACGGTCAAAATCCACTGCGTGTAACTCTACGTGTAAACGATGCCTTGGGTCTTCTCTCATCCAGCGGTATTCTAAAAGCTTATGATATTGTTGGAAATAGTAATGTGAGCGATACAATCGAAATGAATACAAGACAAATTGTTGATGTTAGTTCAAACACTACAATGATAACAGATTCAGTTTTATTTAGCATAGCAGCACTTAACTTCGAATATGAAGACAAAGTATCAGTCTATATCCAACCAATAGACGTTCCTCTTACAGAGCAGACTGAATATCAAAAGCCACCACGTAATAGTGCTAATAAAGGATCAACATCACTTCTAATGCAGTTTATTTTAATGTTGTCCGTTGGATTCTATCGAGTTTATGTCTAAACAATAATTTTTCTATTGTACTGAAAACTTCTAAAATTTTACATGAATCATGAATTGATTTTTCCAAAGCCATTTTCTATTTAATAAATCGTATTAATCAGTAGATATGTTCTTTGATATTATTCTAAGAAGCTCGCATCAAGATGAAGGACTTGTTTTCATCTGTATGCATACTGCAGAATTTATGCTAGAATGAATAGTTTTATTTGACTCTATTTATATTAATGCTACATTTCTAGAAATTGTAGAATAATCTAGTCTTTTCTCGTTTGACCTTGGAGCATTATCTTCATAAAAAATGAACTATATTCTATTTTCAGACCGTATCCTTGAATTTGCATTTGAACGTATATTTCGCTTACATCTCAATCATTCTATGATAACTATATACTCAATCAATAAAGTGCATCGATCTACACTAATGAAAGAGCCTACAAAAAAAACATATCTGCTGCAATTTTTTGTCATTGTCTGTAATAATAATGATTTGTTGTTATATGATGATGTGCAATGAATCGAAAAATAGAAAAGAAAAGAAAATCTCGTCAGCTATTTTTCCTTACATATGTCGCTTGATTTTGCATGACCTCAATAAAGAGACATATAATGAGTTTATACTTGTATAATATGTAATTATCAATAATATTTTCATCAATGCCGTCTTTTTTCTCTCTATCGAATGAGCAAAATATCAATGAAAAAAGACTATGGTGTGCGTGTAGAAAGAGCAGAAATAAAATTCTTGCGTTCTTTTTCATCTTTTACCTCAGTGGATTCTTCGTTTTTAAAAGAAGACCCATACAGCATGTACAATGTATGTATTTTATTAACGGCAATATACACGTGGTGAAAGGTGAACATATATTCAAACACAAAATTAATGAAGCATAACACAGTGCAAGAACAGAAATATTTACTTAGGTATTCATTTTGTTTTGTACATCTCAATAAAACTATGCATTCTTCGAAACAAACAAGTATGTTATGGCTTTGGTGGCGTCGGCAATCATTTTATCTGCGAAGAATATCTGTGACGAAAACGATATTTCTATTGTTGTGTGCTATATTTCTATTGAGAAAATTACCTAATCCATTTTCTTCGCAATACTCACGAATCTCAATCAATCAAGATGTACAATGGGATAGTATCAGTGAAATATTGACCATGAAAAAAAATGTAAATATTGTTTTGTTTTAAATTAAAAATAATTCATCATCTACAGACGAAAACAAGTTTGAATATATTATGAATTTAATTCAGATGCTTCTTCATGATTCTCTACCACGTCAAGTTAAAGTCACAAAAAAAGGTACTGAAGAACCACAATCATCATCGTCATCTATTCTTATTCTTCTTTACACAAGTATTTTTCTTCAAAAGAGATATTGCCATGTAAAATCCGAGAGTATATTTGGCCAATCTTGTCCATCAAAAGATCGATGCCAATGGACATGTGATAATAGACGATTACGAGAAGCTGATGCCATCATTTTCCATGCTTATGATATTCAATTTTATAATGCTCCCGTACCAAATCGCTCAGAAACAAAAAAAGGTTCTGTATGGATACTTTGGTCCGATGAACCACCATCAATGGTTGATTATGGTCTACTTAAACCGTATAAATTTAATTGGACAATAAGTTATAAATCAAATAGTGAAGTATCCATTGGATCTTATGGTTTATTTAGTAAACGAGATACGAGATGGTCTGACGTTGAGTATAATCAATGGATTCATGAACAATTTGGATATCGACCTGAAGGCGCACTTTGGTTTGTATCAAATTGTAATTCTAAAAAACGATTAGAATATTATAATAGTTTAACTCGTCAAAAATTAATATCAGTGGAGGGTTACGGTCGTTGTGTTGATTATTATCCAATGCACTTTTGTGGTGCCGGTACAGAATGTGAACGTGATTATATGTCGAAATTTAAATTCTATCTTAGTTTTGAATCAACAACATGTCGAGATTATATAACGGAAAAATTTTTCAAAGCATTCTATCATGGTCTTATTCCTGTTGTTGTTGGACCTGATCGAATTGATTATAATCGATTGGCACCGAATGGTTCATTTATACATGTCAATGATTTTGGTAAAGATATGACAAGACTTGCTGAATATTTGCAAGATGTTAGTTTGAATTTGAAATTATTTTCAAAGTACCATCAATGGAGACAACAATATGAAATTATTATTGACGGTAGAGCTTTAGAACGAGTTCGCATGTGTGAACTATGTGAGCGTTTAAGAACAAGACGTCGAGATGATATGATTTATTATGAAAATATTGAACAATTTTATTACGAAAAATGTTAATAGTTGTTCAGCTTTCGTTTTTGTGTTGATAAATGCTTTCTAATGAAATCAAGGATGTTTTTTTTTCTAAATTATTTATTTAGGAAACTAAAACAAAACGAAACGGAACGAATCCAATTTTTTCTAACAATAAGATGAAACAAGATCAGTTTCAATCATTTTATTCAGACGGTTTTCATCAAGATCATTTAAACCGTCATATTCAATTTCGGTATCTTTTGCCGATGGTATTTGTAAAAGATTTGGTGTTTGCTCATCGAATTCTTCACTTTGAGACGTTGTATTAAATAAGAGCCTCGATTGTGAATGTTCATTAACTTGAAGTTGTGATATGGAATAATGAGTCTTATCAATTGCTTCTGGCCAATATTTTTGTACCGTATGAATTTTATTGTACAAACATAAGCTAACTGCTCGAGCAACACGTCCTTCATATAATTTGCTGAAATTCAATTTAACGAAGCATTTAAAAATTTGTAGTTTAATTTTTAAATCGTATCAATCGACACTTACCTATTTGAAATAATAGGATAGTAATTGTCGTCGTCTTCATCCATTGAAAGATTTTCTTCCGCTTTGTCACTTGAGACCATAAGACGTTCGAGTTCAACTGGTTCTAAATTTCGAAATCGTATGGAATTTTTGAAATTAATAGTTATTTCTATCACTAGTGTCCTGTAACCGGGTTGGGTACCGAGCATGAAGAAAGTTCTACACCTGCCCAACTTTCCATGTCAATTTGATCAGTAACAAGTAAACACATATTTTGCGAAATCAGCCGAATTTAAGAGGTAGAAAGACATTAAATCAAAATCAATCCTGATTCGCTCCGCTTTTTTTTATCAAATGTGAGATGAAATATTTTTTGTTGCTATTAAGTAAAACTCTGAAAGCTGTATCAGTGGACGACACTACTTCATTTCAATACTTGTTTTTCTAGCGGTACAACTAAAAGAAATTGTTTGAGGAACTTCCGTAATATGGTTTAAAGTATTATGACAGTAGAATTAAATTTAGTCGAACTTTATCGCTAATTCTTACCTACAATACCATCGCTTTCCGATGCACATTCATTTATTTGTTTAATCAATCGATCTAATGTTTCTTCTTGCTATAAGAAGAAAAACCGAGCAATTCTATAATGTTTATCTTCTAGTAAATTTCTTACTAAGGATAAAACTAATTGTAACTGTTGATTATCCATCAGTGCATCATTTAAATGTTGATTCGTTAGAATTGTGTGCTTAGGAGCTCGCGTATGAAATCGACGCATAATTCTTGGTTGCTTTTTTTTCGCATACGGATCGTGATAGACTTCAACAATCTAAATAAATTATCATTTTCCTCTTAAACTGCTTTGTTCGCCTCGAAAATATTGAAACATACTTTAGGTACAAATACTAGACAGACAGTTACTGTTGTACATGTCATAATAAAAAAGGATCTAAGACAATAAGAAAATTGAATCTGTTCCGATGGTATAAATGCAACTAATGAACCAAGTACACAACAAATAAATACAATATAAACACTTAAGCCAATATAACGTGAGTCGTTTAATGCTGGAATTGTTACATGGCGAGTTCTCCACGAAAGAAATGATCCATAGGCCTGAACTTTTCATTATATATATCCACAAAGACATAAGTTTTACTTACCATTAGTAGACCTTTATAAAAAATTAAAACAAGAAACCAAAATGTTGTATGATGGCCTTTACATTCTTCACGATAGGGAATAATTTCAATATCTTGATTATGCTTAAAAAATAAATGAAAACAAAAATGCTTTTAGAAATAATTTGTTTTCGATTAAGAAAATACTTTTGGTCGATGTGGTGCATCATAAACAATTTGTCGATGAATTGGATCAAATAGTTGCCAAGCAATTAGAATGAGTGAATCAATGCATAGAAGTGCTCCGACAACAACAAGTAAACGTGAATCATGAATACCCTAATCAATAGAGAATTGTTGAAAGTCTTAAAATCACCAGCTTGAACACTTCATCGCTATAGTATCCTGATCAAAATCTATCGATAGCATTAACCGAATTCTTCTGCCCCGATAAATCACGAAAGGTCCTCCTATTGATGACACAAAGAACAACTCAATCTTGTTTTACACTTGAATTCTATAGAGATTGCGCTAAAAGCTCGTCTGAGAAAAATACAAATCAAGATGATAGTGAATGAAAGCAGTTTCGATGACATCTCGCGTTTTGTTAATAAGATTATTCAAGTTGATTAGACTTCGTTTAATTTACTTTTTTTGTTAGATTGAAATTCGTAAAAATTGAATGTACACGCCAAGTTTTGCTAAACATAGAGCCGAATGCCAATGTAAAACTAATACATAAAATCCATATGCGAGTCTAAATAGAAATTGTTTATTATACTACGGAATCTAACGGATTGTGCAAACATGTATAACAGAATTCGTGGAGAAATATTTTTCTGGACTCCGCTGTTAAACATTTCTCAACGAATTCTATTTCACATTTTTGTACTAAACATTGTGCTCTATCGAACAGAAAAACATCCATTACAGCTCGATATCGAATCGTTATATTTTCATTTAACTTACCGCACAAATAATATTCATAAGCATATCTGTAAAAGCTGTATTTGGAAATAACGATGAATTTATTCCCATTAAAATCGTACTAATATAAGCTAACATGCAACCGCCTAAAATAATATTATTTAATAATGGACTTGACATTCGAATGTATCTTAAGCAAAATAAAGAAAATTAAATTTATTAACTTCCCTTTGTTTTTAGTTACCGATGTAAACGAAAATGAATATTAAAAACAAATAATGATATTGATATAATTAATCCAATTCCACTGCATATTGTAATTGATATAAATACAGAAGGATAAATATGTTCGAATACAATTGTTTGGTTTGTTCGATCTCTTGGTGGTGCGCTGCCTAAAATTTCATTTTTATTTCTTATCGAGTAAGTTCAAATTCCTACAAACCATGCCACATTATTGAGTGAAGTTTATATAGACTAGGTAGATCATCATTTGCCGCTGAATTTTTAGCAAGAAAAACTTTCACAACCGTTAAATTACAATCATTATCGTTTTCATAACATGGTATTTGACATGAATCATCATTCATCATTCGACAAGCTAAAATTTTCGATAGAACACTTTCCCTATTTATTTATTTCTTGCTTACCAACATATTGCTCAACAAGAATTTCGCCAATTCGTCGACCATTTAAATACCTAACTTTTCCCTAAAATTTCCAACAGAAAGTTTTTTCTTTCTAAGGTAAATCAACTTGCTTACTGTAGCACCAATAAAATCAATATTATTTACAATAGTTTTTATATTCGTTTGATTCAATAGGATTCCCGATCGATACATATGTACTAAACTCCATACTGTATCATATGCGTATGCATCGAAGTAATTTGTTTTTAATGTCGAAAAATGTTCAATATAATCCCAAACATGATTCGGTCGATCCTAAATAAACTGTTTATTTTCTTGAATTCTTTTCTTCATTCTATTTTCTTACATCAGAATCATCCATTGATATATTTGGTATACGTGTTTGTAATGTTCCGTTAATTGCTCGAATGAGTTCTTGCATTGAACAATCAGTTTTTTCATTCCACCATGCCGATTCAGATGCATACCCAAGCATAATCCATTGATAACGTGGACCATAAATTTGTTCTTTAGCAGCCTAATTTTCAAATCGATTAGTGTCGGATTTTATTTCAGGCAAACTTACATTACAAAACATGTGAGTTGCTACCGTTTGATTAAAATTTGCAATGATTATTCGAACATCTTTTGACTAGGAAAGAAAATAAATATTTTTTGTTTACAAACAGAATGGTTTAGTCTTTGTTTTATTTTTACTTTAAAATCTTTGAGTAATTCTTTCATATTTTTAACATTATCCTCATGCCAATTTGATCCATGACGATAAGTTACGCCTCGTGTTAAATTAACTTCCCATTGTTTTTTATCCATCGCAGTTAAATTAGATAAATCATTAGCGACCTAAAGACAACATTTAGATAATCAAGGTTTCTTTTCTTTTGTTTGTCAGAATAGAAAATTGTTATGGCGGATGCTTTATAAAGTACAGTCCATCCCAGAGTACAAGACCCAGGGTCTTCTACACTAACAAAGCAGATGAAATTTCAAAGGGGGCCTTCTATTTGGAGAGGGAGTGGTACTAGGTCAATTCGTCGCACGGACAATTGGTCGCGATGTAAATTAATGAAAGTGAATATGACGTGTCGCTTGATGTAATTGAATCAAGTAGACTATGTTTAATTAATTGAATAAACCCACAAATTTCGTAGACTGAGTTATGAATCTCAAGGAAAAAAGAAATAATCTAATAGAATTTTGGGAAAATCAGAATAAAAACATTAATTTTAAAAATAAATATAAAATAATTCTCCTCAGTGGCAGAAGACATTTCTTGTCAGTATTCATACAATTATCTATATCAATTATTCTACATTCTCATTACTCTCCCTTAATTAAATTAGAATAAGCATGTATGCGACGAATAGTCCAGTCACCGTTCGGACTGCTGGATAAGATTGTACCATTGAATTGTCTTGTATATTCATGTCATCATCAGTGCTATCATCCGAGTTTGAACACAGGTGATTGCCAATCTGAACGAATTCATTTTCTTCTTCATCGATAGTGTGCAGGTCAAACAATCAGACAGTAAGATCCTATATGATCTTGTAAGATCAGATGAAATCATACGAAAAATCATAATGTTATATCATCGTATCAATTCGTACTGTAAAATTTCTGGGAGATCCTATAATATCATAAGATTTTTGTAAGATCTTACAGAAATCTTACAGTACGAATTGATACGATGATCTGACGTTATGATTTTTCGTATGATTTCACCTGATCTTACAAGATCTGTGTCTAATTCTTTGACCTGGGTGGTAGTGGCGTAACCACAGGGTGGGCTGGGGTGGGCTAAGCCCATTCCAGAACTGTTTGAGCCCACCCCAGAAATATTTGTATTTGTAAACCATTTATGATTGAATGCTATTATAGTATTTTGGAATAAACTCTTGTTCAAGAAAAAAAGACGTAAGAGTCATTTCCAGCCAACCACAATTGGCAGGAAAGAAAAAAGAACAATTTTGTTCTGTTGATCTATGTTGGGTACATTTCATGGGAATAAATGATCATCGTCTGTTCTGTCTAAGCGATGATAACATTTTCAAGATGACAATTGAGTTCATTATGAACGGACGGAAAGAAATAATCTGCTAGAAAAAATGTTGTGATTGATTTTATGTAGAAAGAAAATTATAGCCATCGTATCTCTCTCTCTCTCTTCTTTCAGTTGACATTGTTACTTTTCTTTGCATTATTTTATCAAAACATCTTATAACGTACTATGAAGAGGTAGGCAAACAGTTACACAGATTCTTCGAATAAACGAATCGGTACTCTTGAAAGTCTTTGGTCGAAAGAAAAAAAAGCAGATGAACCGTCGAATTCAACTTGTACAACTGTAGACGCATGCATTGGTATTATTACGGAATTACAGACTATTTCGGATTCATCTTCAGAGAAGCAACATAGAATTGCTGCCAATTATAATGCTTCATCTTGCCATATCAGTATCTCTGTTGATCATCCATCAGTACGACCAGTTTTATCCACGTATCCTGTTAACAACGAAAGTCGTTCATTTCAATCTCAATGGTATTGCAATCGTCCATGGCTTGAATATTCCATTAAGAATAACACTGCTTATTGCTATTATTGCCGGCATTTCGGTATATCAATTCAAACAAAACGACTTCAAAGCGATGCTTTTGCGACTGGTTTCAACTGGTCTCGGGGCTTAGCCCACCCCAGCCTTAAAACCTGGTTACGCCGCTATATGACATCTATGATATAATGTGAATTGATATATTGAAGCAATATAATCGGCGACTTTTTCTATCATATATCAGATCTGGGTAACTCAGCGCAAAATAGGAGTCAATTTAATTCAATCCAATTCAACTAGCTTCATGGATTCAATTGCATTGAGCTGACATTCGTGGTTCTGCCATGTATTGGTACGATGATATATTACATTTATTCGAATATTTTCATAAGATGACTGTAGCTGGAGAAACTATGATCGTTGAAAATTAAAATTGAAAAAAGACATCATGGTGAATTATTATTTCCTTTAAGTTTATATACTTCTTCCTACGCAATCGATAATCCTATAATTACATTATAATCGATTGTAACACATTATGTTTTAAATAATACATGAAAATTAATGAAATAGGCTGCATAATCATAAACTTCCACATATTGTTTCCATAGCGACTATAACAATTGATACAAGTTTAGACGAGAAAAACTCACATTATTTGATATCTATATACAATAATATTTTGAGAATGAACTTCTTCGCTCGCCAAATGGGTATTTTATTTAACATTGCAGAAAAAATATTTTAAGTTACTTTTGTTTCAGTAAATTTCAGTGTGCGAGAGTTGAACAAAGATTATTTAAGTAAAAGAATAAGAAATGCAATATCAGCGAATGAAATTTGCATATCATTCTCTAATTTTTTGATTTCCATCTCCTACAATCTTCTGAAAGCAATGCTTGCCACAAGAAGCAAAATACTTATGTTGCGACCAGAAGTTCACAAATAAACAGTATCAATATTTTTACCCGAAGAATTGTAAGGAAAATCCATCATAGAATAAAAGATTTTTCCACACTACTAATGCTAATAACGAGTTCTGCTATCTCATCTAAAAGGCGTTGACATTATATATAATCCAAATGGAACATATAACACGTCAAAAGGGAAAATATTATGGATTTCTCAATAACAGTATAACCATGATATCTCCATTGGGAAGTCTATACTAATTAGTTAGTTTCATATAATTTGTGTTTTGACCTATTTTGTGTCTCGACGACAGAAAATAAGAAAACGTTGTTGACGTAAAGGATATACTTAAACTGTGTATGGAGATGGTATGTATAAAGCCTCGCATGCTATGCAGAAACTTGCATCAGTTATTTAATTTAACCATTTCTGATAAATACTGATACGCTGACGAAACATGTTTTATTCTGTTTTACTATTGCTGGTATTATCATTCTTAAGCCGAGCGAATAGCCGAAAAATCGATGCCTATGGTAAATTACAGTATTTATAATTAAATAAGGAGACAAACGTTTTTATATCTCATTGAAAAAATGATTTTTCTTCCATTAAAGTCAGAGAGTAGAGGAAAATGAAAACATCAAAATAAAGGAATATTATGAAGATTAATACTAAACAGAATTATATTGAGAAATCATCAGATGACTATCGTATATTTCTTTAGATCAGAAGTATTACAATTCTTAAGGGGTAAATTTGAACTTCATATGATTGCACAGACGGTGATTTTCAACTGGCCTGTATTCTCGAGTTAGATGTGATGAAAAAAATAAACGTTTATATCAGTCATTTCAAAAAATATAGATCAATGAAATAGTGCAAGGTTAATACAAAGAAAACTTGATTTGTTACGTAATAGAAGTCAAGGTTGCTCAGAAAATATCTAATTTCGTTTAAAAATCAATTTTGATCCCTTTGAATTTTTATAATCATTGAATAAATATATGGCTGTGATACTTGAAATCCATTTAATTCTATTAAGATGTCTTTATTCGTGACCGACATGCAAACAACCGGTTCCGCAACACAAGCATTGAAGATGGTGAAGTACAACGACCATATCATCGTATCCGCCGTAACGCAGGTGAGAAATAGAACTAGATTAGATGAGAACTGTTTGTATGATTAAGGAGTGAAAGAATAGAATATAAGCAGGAGAACTTTATGAATTTCTAGTAAAAATTACAAGAAAATTGTTTTTCTTGACATACAAATGCTAATTACAATGAGACAAAATGCAGATCAAGATTATTGTTTTCAAAAGCAATCCAAGTACGAAAAATCTTTTGATTAGCATGTATAGCTTGGGTTTTAGTCTGAATTGAGTTTCTATTCTGGACTGAGTTGGTTGACAGCAGTTGAAGATTAGCTGAGTAGATGCAACTTTTCTTGAGAAGATAAATATTTAAGATAGTTTTGATATTCGACAAATCTTGCTGCTATAAGACATATCTGACTAGATTTTTGCTTAAAAACCTACTGTGTATAATATGTTAAGTGTACGTAGGTTTTATGATCATTGATCACAAATCGAAAGAAATGATCCCACATAATATACTGCTTCTAAATACATCATTAGCAAAAGTGTTGAAAATTGAGTAAAACAACTCGAGTTCGAAGGTTTATAAGCAATCATTATGTTACAAGTAATACGGTATACATCATTAAGAAAGCTTGAAATCTAAAATGAAACGTGGTAGCTCTTACGAACTTTTCTACAAGAAGTCATTTATGAGACTTTATACTTGGAACATAATNTAGAAAAAAAAGTGTTCTATGTTTTGAATAGAGAATTGCTACCACGATAGCAAAGACTGCACAAATTTACAGAATCTCAAGCTTCTTGTAATAGTTGAATTTTTCCGGTAATACGCATGTAGCGTTACTAAAAATCGAGTGCTACCGTATATAAGATTCTATTAGAAAGACTTTCTTCTAAAACACAAACAAGCAGTTCTATTCAGCTTTCAATATTCTTTCCTATGATGTAGATGCATGGGTGTCGATCTCAATCTTCTCTACGCCCACTCAGATTCTGAATTTTCTTTGAGAATAGATCTGAGTAAATGCTTTAATAGTTAACATTGACTTCAGAAAGTTCTTAGAATTC